CTGTTTCGCTCGTAAGAAAAGTCCCTAGGTAATAATTGGGATAGATTCTTACGCTGTATATACTACGATCACTGCGAATTGTTGAAAGTTTTTTAAGCCTGTTCTTGAAGATAATACAGATAGCTTATGTAGTATCGTTTGAGAATTCTCTCACTTGTGCGGTGTGTGATCTTAAAGACTGAAAGCTTTATTTGTCTTCCTTAGGTTTCCGCCTCGCTCTTTTCTTCCCAACGAGCGATGGAGTATATCGAACTTTCTTCGCTGCCTTCACAAAGCCTCTGTGACGATCGATGGCATCACGTGCTGTTCACAGCCAAGCAGCAAGCATATCTCACAGTGGACGGCGTGCAGACGGATCGAGCGCTTTTCGATGGCGCTCCGTGGAACAATAAGGACTGTACGATGTTCGTCGCAGGACTGCCACGTAATTTCTTGTCTGATTGTATTTACGATAATGTGTTGTTATTGTGATTCGGTGATTTCAGGCGTACTGTGAAGATCGGTCGTAGCACTTTTGAATCAGTTACTGTCGACGTTTCAGCCACAATATAAGATAACTTTCTTCAAAACAACAAAACTATGAAATGAGCATACAGTACAATTACTGTAGAATTCATGTGACTTCTGTAGCCTAATTTCTTTTGCATTGGGTACACGAGGCCCAATCTCTTATACTTTAATCGACTACTTAAAGTGTTTGATTCCATTGAGGTGACAACTATGGTTAAACTCTTTGTTTGAGTATGGCTTAAATCTTGCTTACGTCAGTCTGATCGAGGAGCTGGGCCCCAGATGCACTTCGGGCGTCAAGCTGTTCAACGAATCATGCTGCCTCGGTGTTCATCGAATCATGCTGCCTCAGTGTTCATCGAAGAGTGCATTAAAAAATACCATTTCACCGAAACTCTTTGCGGCGGCATTTGACTGATTCTTCAACCAGCGAAACTGAAACACGAATATAAATACGGATGTAGAGCAGTTAACGCACGCACTCTGCGAACGACTGCATGGTCTAAGATCAGGGCATCGCGGAGCTCAGACAGAAAATCAAACAAGAATCTTACGCTTTCGAATCGCAGATCAGCCCTTCTAAGACGAAACTGATGCGAAACGACACTGTCCTCGGGAGTTCTGTCTGAGTAAACGACTGAAGACTTGCAGAAGCCGCGGAAGTGTCTATACTTAAGATATCAGCCGTGCGAATTCGTCGAACAGTAAAATGAAGAAAGAAGGTGGCATGGCCCAGGTTAAACCATAATGAGGCGTACTTACCGAACGGCGAGTTGCCAATGCAAGCGAGAAAAGAACTGTTCGATTCTACGGTTTCGCCCATCTTGATCTACTGCGTTCAATGCTGGTCCACCACGAATACAGATAGTAACACGCTAATGGTCACTTAAGGAGCGATTGTGCGCACAATGTGCAAACTGTCCCTCTGAGGTCACATTTCAAGTGCACAGTTATGCATAGCACACTGGGCTAACGGATGTACTGTTTGCCATTGGCGATGATTGGCTACACACGTGACTCGTTGAAGCACAATCGATAGACGGCACGAATTGCAAACTAAACTCCATTGAACCATAAACACACTAGAATTATCTGATTGTAAAATTATTTGGCCAGCGTTGGAGGTAAGGAGCACAGAAGAGTCAAGATAGGAGGAGCGATGATGTGCATTTATGGCGTACGTACAAAAGATGGCAGTGTTGTGGCAGATGGCATGCGATCAGATGGCTGAATACTGGTGGCCAAAGACCTTCATATGTTAAACGGTGCACAGTTTGAACCCGTTTCATGGTGCAATGTAATTACCGTGCAAAGTGAAATAATTGCGCATTATAATGATCAGTTC